TTTTTGCAGTTTCCTGGCTCCTATCTCGAGTACCACGGTGTTGTCTGCTGTTCCTGAAGTTGCGGAGACGTTTGATACGGATGGCAGTATTATCAATGTTTCCAACGCTTTGTATATGTTGTTTATGGGCTTGTCGCCTTGTTTCTATGGTCCGTATGGGAATATCTATGGCAGGAAGTGGGTTAGTGTTGTGAGCGCGGGGTTGTTTACTGCGTTTTCGATTGGGACGGCGTTGGCGCCGAATTTGGCGAGTTTTTTTGTGTTTAGGATTTTGACTGCGTTTCAGGGGACGGCGTTTTTGGTGATTGGGAGTGCGGTTATTGGGGATGTGTATAAACCGGTATGTATGCCCTTTCTTAAACATGGATGGTGACTTCCAGGTCGACTTGGAGAGTTGCGTATGATACGTCCAGATCACACTCTCACACACCACACCACCTACCCCATCACCATCACCACCTCCCCTACTAACACTCACGCAGACCGAGCGCGCAACAGCCCTAGGCTGGTTCCTCAGCGGCACCCTCATCGGCCCCGCCCTCGGCCCCTTCATCGGCGGCATCATCGTCACATTCCGTTCCTGGCGCGACATCTTTTGGCTACAAACCGCCCTGGCCGGCGCTGCAACCCTCTTCTGCTTCTTCCTGCAACCCGAAACCATCCACAAGAAACGCGCCGACGAACTCGTCGGCCTCCCCACCAAAGAACGCGCACACAAAATGTGGCAGTGGCTCAACCCTTTCCGCGTCATCAAACTATACCGGTATCCCAATATCCTTCTCACAGCGCTAGCATCCAGTTCCCTGGTGTGGAATATGTACTCCCTCCTAACCCCAATCCGCTACGTCCTAAACCCGCGCTTCAACCTCCAATCCCCCCTCCAATCCGGCCTCTTCTACATCGCGCCCGGCTGCGGCTACCTCCTCGGCACCTTCTTCGGCGGCCGCTACGCCGACCACATCGTCAAGAAATACATCCAGCGCCGCGGCCACCGCGTCTCCGAAGACAGACTCCGGTCCTGCGTCTTCTTCCTCGGCGGCGTCATTCCCGCTTGCATGCTCATCTACGGGTGGAGCGTCGAGAAAAGGGTGGGAGGCATCGCGCTGCCGGTTGTTATGATGTTTCTGCAGGGTGTGGCTCAGTTGTTTTGTTTTCCGTCACTGAATACGTATTGTCTTGATGTTATGCAGGGGCGGAGTGCGGAGGTTGTGGCGGGGAATTATTTTATGCGGTATATGTTTGCGGCGGCGGGGTCCGCTGCTTGCCTTCCTGCTGTTAGGGCGATTGGCGTGGGTTGGTTTTCGACCATCAGCGCGGGATTTCTGGTGGCGGGGGCGGGGGCGACGTGGTTGACTGCTGTGAAGGGAAGAGAATGGAGAGAGGCGATTGAGGAGAGGAAAGCGCAGAGGAAGGAGGAGGCGTTGGCGTGAGATGGTGGTGGAGCGGAGGGAGATAGTGATCATGAAGTATCCTGTTCGATTCTCATCACAACAGGATGTTTATTTGCTAGTATTTGGCGTGATCCAGAAGAGATCTTCAAATATGGCTAACTATGCGATTGGGATACGAGAGATATCAAATACGAGAAACAGCAGATGAGGTTAGTCTGGCCGACTGAAGGATTCGGCCGCATTCTGTTACCTACCCCCAACAAACAACAACCCGCGAAAGACCTACACGCGACACCACCTTCCTACCCAAACCACCACAATCCAGCGACTAGTACTCATCATGCGCTTCACCATCCCAATCCCCATTCTTCTCGCTTGCTACTACTACTACTGCGTCGCATCAGCGCAAACATGCGACAGCGGCACAGCATGCGGTTACGCCGCCCAACTGTGCTGTACCGCCGAAGAAATCTGCATGACGGACGAGAATAATCAAGCGCTTTGCTCTGTTCCTGATCTCAACTCTGTCAATTCAACATTGACGCTGGTGGTCAGCATGCAGTCCGTCCCAGTAACAACAATAATGCCGACGCCGACGCAGGTTACAGTCCTGGAAAGCTCGTCGTCTGAGGCGGATGGTGGAGACGCGAGTGGAACTACCGCATTGACTGGCATGTTGTCTTCTAGCATTACGCAAGGTTCTGATGCGAGTATTGCGGAGTCGACTGCATCGACTATCAGCGCAGAGTCGACGGCCGAGTCTGATGCGAGTATTGCGGAGGAGACGGCATCGACTACCAGAGCACTGTCGACGGCGTCGACGGGTTTGGCTGATGCGTCTGGTGCGCAGGTTTCGACGACGACGGGCTTGGGTGGAAGGGTAGAGAGGAGTTGGTATGGGGTTGTGGGAGTTGGTGTTGTTGTCGCGACGGTCTTGATGGTTTGAGGGATGGAGAGGTTAGTCGATGGAACAAAAGGAACGGTACCAGAGGAACAGTATCACGAGATATGGGTGGTTTGAACAGCTCGCCAAGTGCGCGGAGAAGCCCTCGAGAGCTTCGACATGCCGCCCTTCTCCCCGCCATAATATGACTGTCTCTTCAGCCTTGCCTCAGCCTTGAGGTGCCAAGTTGGCAGGTATGCAAGACATAGCTCGACACAGAATAGCGTATCTCAGCCTTGATCGATCTCTATCGAGGCCGCTCTACAAGGACTTCGAAGTTCTTCTCCTGACCCTTTCCCGGCACCAAAATGCAGTTTCTCCAATTTCTCGTCTCACTTGGTCCACTCGCATGCGCTGTCGCCACAGCGCTACGTATTGAAACACCCATCCATGTGCTGAAGAAACGTGACTGCAAAAACCCATGTGGCTTCGATGGATGGCTCTGCTGCCCGTCGAGCATGGATTGCTTCACTGATGCTGCTAATCAAGCTCAATGCAGAGACTCCGGTCTTGAAGATACTACGACTCAAAACCTCCCTACACCACCGCAGCCAGCTACTACTGTACCTCTACCTACGCCACCGCGACCAGCTACTGCTGTACCTGATACGTCTAGCACTAGAGTTAGCGTGCCATCCAACACTAGCACAGGAGCCAGAAGCTCAACGTCTAGCCTCCGTACTTCGGATCGCTCATCACAGTCAACGTCTCTTCGTCCTTTCCAAAGTCCAGCTCTACCCACTGCCACTGAAACGCAATCATCAAGGTCAACGCCTTCCGTTCCTTCTCCTCAAAATGGACTGAGCTCTGGCGCTATAGCAGGAGCAGTGATTGGTGCTATATTCGGTGTCGGTCTCATCGCACTGGGATTATTCCTGTTTTACAAACGAAGAGCAGGGATCTTGAACACGGCGCAGGGTTTACAATATGGTGCGGATCTCCCCGTGGCCTGTAGTATGGGTCAAGAAGCGCGTGGCGAGTCTGAACTTCCGGCTGTGGACAAGACTCTGCGAGTGGATGGTTGGGGTTTGGGTGATTCGACACTTCCAATTGCTGAGTCGGATGGCAGGAAAGCAGGGTGATAGAAGTTGCATACACTTCCAAGAAACATGCTAGCATGCGGGCGCTTAGCTAAGAGTATGTTACGCTTTTCCAGAAGGTTTGTATAACTAAAGCTCGTTCCCATGTGCGAAGAGATATCGATAGGTGTAGCATCGCTACCATACAACCGTTTATCGCATATATCGCGACTACAGCACTATCTATTGTAGCCCTTTAAGCGCCCTTTAATGCTCTTGTATATATAATGTACTGTAAATTTCTAACTGCTTTTTTATTGCACTCTAAACTATCTAATTTCTACTGCTTACACACTAGCTATACATCATTATAATGTCGCCCTTAACACCTCCTCACTCTCTAGGTGTAGCAATACTGCCTCCCTGATATGGAATCATCCTCGCGCGGATCAAAGCCTCTGAGATTGAGCGATCGGACGAGTTGTGGCTAATAACGAGATGAGGATACTGAGAATCGACCAGGACTTGCTTTGGCGCAGACAAGCGGCGTTACGGGTACAGCCTAGTAAGTAAGCTCCCGATAGCACCTCATGGTAAATGATTTACAATCGATAGTGATTACCGAATGCATGCTTGCACCTTCCCAATGCTTGCTCATATCCCCACCAATAGCCGGTCACTACACGAGTGCCATCGCAATGCAGCAGCGACTGGGGCCTTCAATACAAACAATTTCCTATCGTGCGCAAATACCAAGACAGAACGAAGCTTCTCAACACATCATGGAAGCTGCGTCGCAGACAATGTCCGTCATTCTTACCTCGTAGGGCGCAGGCGGCTGCAGAATAAGCCCGCCACCAGACCGCCGATACCCGAGGCGCAAAACCCAGTCATACCCGGGCTTCCGCCCACCACCAATTCCTGCGCCATCCGTTGTATCACCCTATCATCTATAACTTTTATCCCATTACCATGGACGACTCCGCTACTGGCACAGGCCAACAAGATGCCAACTCGGCGTCTGCGAGCAAAAAGCGGACCCACCCCGAGGACTTCAAGCGCGCATACAAGGCTTGCATCAACTGCCGGCAACGCAAGGCTAAGTGCATCTTGGGAACCGGGCCAGATGGTGGTGAACTAAAGCCACCATGTCAGCGATGCAAGCGCGAGATGCGCGAGTGTGTGTTTCGCTCCGAGAGAAGCTGGGTTAAGAGACGTAAACCGGGGGAAGCGGCGCGCGAGGGCGAGGAAGACGATGAGGCTGTTCATGATCGCCCTCAGTCAAATCCTGCGCCAAATGTGCAGCCCTCGCCAGCTCATAGGTCGTCCATATCGACGCATGGTTTCACGCCGGGGACTAGTCCGCATGTCAATGGTACGAATCGCACTGAATTTCAGTCACCTCATGGGCATCTGAGAAGGATCTCGTCGAGCCAGCCGGATCTTGCGCATTCGGTTATGCGGACCGTGGTGTCGAGTGGGAGCGATGCGTTGAATCTGCTTTTTGAAGCTGCGCATCATCGCGATGCTATCGATAGCCAGGAACAGTCGGGGTCGCAAGCCTATGAGACTCCTAGGTCGGGGCCATCGGGCTATGAGGGTGTTCCGTCGTCGCCGTTCCATACCTTCAGAGCGCAGCCGGTGCAGATGTCCACCCCGTCACCAGAGACGCTGAAGACATGGACGTCATGCCGGTTCGTGCAGATGGGCTGGTTCTCCGCGCATGAGGCGGTTACCTACGTTGATCTGTTCTTCAAGAACTGCTCGCCGTTGTCGCCGATACTGGGAGAATTTTACTCTCATCATGAGAATCACTACACGCTCATTGCGTTGGATCCATTCTTGTGCACTACCATACTCATGATTTCATCTAGGTACAACATTCTTCCTGGTGTAGGCGGCGCATCCAGAGGTTACTTTGTGCATGACAGGCTTTGGGAGCAATGCCAGCGCTTCATCATGAAGATTATGCTCGGACAAGTCAAGCCGTCGAAAGCACAGAGTCGGACCATCGGATCTATAGAGGCTCTTCTCTTGCTATCCGAATGGCATCCTCGCGCGCTGCATTTCCCCACTGCTGCTGATGGCTGGGATTGCGAGCTCATGATCGGCGCGAACAACACCACAGAGGAAGGCGCGAAGCTGTTGGAAGGGGATGTAACATCCAACCGATGGCTTGAAGATGTCATTGAGCCTGCGAAACGTTCTGATCGCATGTCATGGATGTTGATGGGCTGCGCGCTGTCACTGGCACAAGAACTGGGTCTCTTCGAAGACAACGCTAGAATCGACAAGGACCAAGTCTCTTACCCAAAGTTTACGACGGAGTATCTCATCTTACGGAGGATTCGGGCTCGGAAGCTACTATACGTTTTGCTCGAACAGCTGTCATGGAGGCTGGGTTGCACATCAATGATCCCGCAGAGTCTTAATCATGCTCTGATGGAGAAGATACCAGTCGACTCCGCAACCGGTGCAGTCGAGCAGTGGCAGTCCTTCATGAGCGCCTGGGTCGAACTCACCAAGCTCGCTCGCTCAATCTCAGACACCATCTACCCAAACACCGCCACGACACGAAGTTTACTACGCACCGGTCGCTACATCGGGCTGCTCGAACACTTCCAGCCACTGCTCGTATCATGGCGGAAGAAGTATCTCGATCCTTGCAAACTCAAAGTCGGCCTCCACGACATGCTCCACATCGAATACCAATACGTCCGCATATACACTAATTCCCTCGGTATGCAAGCCGTCGTCGAACGTACACTCGCAGAAACGGATCCCGATGTGCCACAGGAAGACAATCTCCCCTTCAATCTGGAGCCGCGAGATTACGACTTCATCCAAGAAGTCGTCGACGGAAGTTGTCAGATCTTGCAAAAGGTTTGCCAGCTTTCTGAAACAGGGGCGCTGCGGTACTCGCCTGTCAGGATCTTCTTGCGGATAACAACTAGCTCGATATACTTGATCAAAGGACTGAGTCTGGGTAGTAGGAATGCGAAGTTGCAGAGCTGTCTGGATATCCTGGATGCGGCGATCAGGGCTCTTCGTGCTAGTAAGTCTACCTTTCACAACAAACGCGCATCTCGCTCTGCGGTCACTAACACAACATCCCAGGTACCCTCGACGACATGCACCTCGCATCCCGCTACGCCACCCTCCTCGACCTCCACGTCGCCCGCCTCCGCGAATCCTTCGTCGTGTCATCCCGCCCACCTCGCCTGCCCTCGCGCGCCACTTCCACCCCCCATAATACGTCCCATAATACTTCTCACGCCGCATCGGCATCTGCAACAGAAGGCATGGCGTTCTTGAACAACCACAACGCGGGCCAGTCTAGCTTGTCGAGCTTAGCGGAGAATGTAACGGGGCTCATGCCTGATATGCCGGATGACGATTGGTTGGCACTGCCTTTTGATCCGGCGATGGCGCCGTTTGGGCTGGATGGGGGACTGCAGGGCGGGTTTCAGGGGTTTGATGATGGGACGTTGGATTTTATTTGGAATTTGCCTATGTAGGGGTGGTGGACGAGATGGGTGTGGTAGAGATATGAAGAAGTACACTGGTGTAAGGAGTCTACCTGGAGATCATTCTCGCTCTTATTGAAGAGGTCGTGTAGACAATCTTTAGGAAGAGCATAAGATACACAATATCTGCATCGGAGCTTTCTCGTGTATTCTGTACCAGCAGGTATCAAACCTCGAAGAGGAGCAGCAAACTTCAGATCACAGTAAAAAAAATACCATACTATTACAGCACCTCCAAAACCCAAGACTCCACCTCCAAACCCCACAATCAAACATGTCCTCATACCCATCCCTCGATTTCGCCCTCCTAGCGCTATCCTGCTCCGGTCTCATTCTCCTGCGTATCCGTAAGCCCTTCAAAATCATAGGGCTTCTTGCCTTCATGTCTATCTACCACATGCGCGTCGATAACCACGATAGCTGCGTCAGTGACGCGCTCCAAGCATGCAATTACATCGTTCCTCAATGCGCTACGAAGACGGAAACGTGCGAGGAGTTTCACGGATGGGATGGGCTGGTGGATGAGGAGGGTTATGCGGCGGATAGTGAGAGCGAGTGTTAGTGACCTCGATATACGATTTGCTCCTGAGTTATCCATTGATTTCTCTCGGTCTTGTTGCCACCTTGCCCAGCCCATCTCGCACCGACTTCAGGTCAACATGCACTATCCAAAACCACTTGCGCTTCCTGAAGACTTCTTTCCAATGTTGTCTTCTCTACTTCCGCTCTTAAGACTGATATCGCCAATTTCGTCGTCAACGTCGAAGAAGTGGAATCGCTGCACCTCCTCATCACCCAAATCCACATCGTCCTTCAGTAAATCGATATTGAACCACTCCATTCCTCCATCGTCGCGTTGTCTCACGTCCCCGGACATGGTCTTTTGGCGCGCATATTCCTCGGCTCTTTTCCTTCCGCCAAACGACGCAAGACATACGGACAGCAGTGCACAAGCTACCACGCATGCCACGCCTAGTACGATGTAGCTTTTGAACTGCGCCGGTGCATGGATCTCTGGATCTTCGCTGATGTAGGTAGTCTTGTCGAGTTGGAGCATGTAGATTCCATTTATGACGAAGTAGACCAGGGATAGCGGTGCCATGCAAGTGACGAACACGACTATGGTAGTTGCGAGGGACATGTTGCGTGGATAGACATGCAAAAATGGTATGCTGAGTTGTATGGTAGCGATAGGGGAATGTTCGTGGACTGAGTATGCAGACAAAGCCTTATCGGCGGGCGATGATGTGCCGCTTAAGATTCGCGAAACCGTGCCGCATCGCATACAAAGATAAGATCGATGTTTGCTTGCAGAAACATGTCCCGGGCGCTTACCGATAGCGTAGCGCCTCAGCTCGGAGGAGGCTAGCTTCTTTTCAAGAGCGAATAAGATAGGTTAATAGATCGTGTCTCTAGCAGCAAACCATAACATGTGGCGCAGTGAATGAGCCACGCGATAATCCATCGCAATTGAATCTATCAACCCGAAGCATTCATACCCATCTCCTCTCTCAGCGCATCCCTCACAATAACCCCACACATCTTCTTATACGGATTCGTCCTCACACTCATCTCTCTCGCAACTTCATCTCCATACCTTGCCGCAGCCGCAAAGTCTTTACTCGCTTGCTCTTCCAACTCCGACTTCGTCATGCCATATAACCGCACTTCCGATTCCACAGCTTTGAGATAAAGATACGCGCGGTGCGAATATGCTGTCCGTAGGATCTTCGCAGCATGCGGCGATACGGCTTGTGTCGATGAGGAAGCTGCGGAGGAGAGCTTAATCGCCTGCGCGAGATCAGAGAACACAGCCTCAGTGTTTGACCCCGATGTCTCGGTCGTAGTCGCGAAGATAGTCTTCCCTTCTTCCAAAGTAGCCTCAAGCTTCATTCGCCGTACCATGGCACGGTTCACCCACGCACCCGCATACGCCGGCCACTGCTCTACCACCGCATTCAGCTCTTCGATTGCAGAGTCTATGTCGCTGACGCTTGATGTGCTTGATATGCGGCCTATGATGTCGCTTTGTTGGCGCTCGAGTGCGGTGAGCTGTGTGTCTGGAAGAATGGGATGGGCGGGTAGTGATGGGTCGATTGATGAGGATATGTCTTTTTGTTGGCCGACGGAGGAAGGGAGGGTTTCTGGGTCGAAGAGCGCGTTGAGGATGCGTGCGTCGTTTGCTGATAACGAGGTGTTGGGGAGGGTGACTGCCATGGTTGTGTTGGGTTTGGTCGTGGGATAGATGGCTTTCTTGAAGCAGTGATTTGGCCACGTAGGAACTGAAATCTTTTTGAAGATGGTTGAAGAAGGTTGGCATGTGGACTCAGCGAGAGAACATGCAAGTTCTTCACGTGAAAGTCATTCTGATCATCGCGGTGTTGCATGTCACGTTCTTTCACTCGGCTTAAGCTGCGGAATTCCACGGCAAAGTTCAGGTAGGCTGCGGAAGGCGGCTCGCGAGAGGCTGTCTGGCTCGGCCTATGCACGGATGGACGTGAACACCATTCGATGATTCTCTATGTCCATGTTAATTTTTAGTTTTAAACAAGCTAAACTTCAAGGGCGATAAATCGCATCAAGTCAGATGAGAAATGAACATAGTATATTTGGTGGTGGTGAAGTCGCATGGTTGTGAGTTCAGTGAGGGCAGCCTCGCCAGGGAATTGCCGGCTGGCCCGCAAAGCCGCAACAACAAGGCGGCCGGCCAACACTCTTCCTACACGCAACATCGTACATCACAACCACACAGCCTCGTTTCCAGTATGAGCAACTAGTCCCAAACATCATAATCGCGATCTGACGCAAATCGCTTGCCGAGAGCTTGCTACAACCACACGACCGCGACGCGTCGTTCTTACGGCGGATGCAGGCGGATCATTCATTGGCGGAAAGCGGCGGACAACACTTGCTTTCTTCTGGCGGCCAGTGCACGTGAGCTCGGCATAACCAAGTAAATGACGCTACCTGGATTGAATATGGTAATTGCTAGCAAGAGTGAACGGATATCGGTTCGAGAAGGGAAGTGGATGCAGAACGGTAGAAGATAAAGAATGGCTGCGCATCGGTGCCTAGTGGGCAGTTCACTACACTTTACAGCACTGCTTTATTACTTGCTAGCCAGAGATCTGAGTACTTTCAACTATATCTGAGTTAATCAACTGCTCATTCCTGTTCACGAATCACTTTCACAATGGCGCCCGCTGCTATCTCCCCACCGGCATCGCCACGGCAATCTGCTGCCACCCCTTCGGATGTCTCTTCATACCAAGGCTATCATCATGTACACTGGTATGTCGGTAACGCCAAACAAGCAGCTTCGTTTTACGTATCACGTATGGGCTTTGAGCGTGTTGCATACCGCGGACTAGAGACTGGCTCAAGAACGACCGCATCCCATGTCATCCGGAACGGCAGGGTGACCTTCATCCTCACATCGCCCTTGAGGTGCCTAGAGCAGGGCTCAAGATTCAGCAAAGAAGATGAGCAGCTTCTGCGAGAGATCCATGAGCACCAAGAGCGCCACGGTGATGCCGTCAAAGGTAGGATATTATCCCCTATCGTCGTTCAGCATCCTTACTGACTTGTCATCCCAGATGTCGCTTTCGAAGTCGACAACGTAGATGCCATATACTCCGCGGCCGTCTCATCAGGCGCCGCCACCATCTCAGCCCCCCACGACATCTCCGACAGCCACGGCACCGTCCGCCTCGCCACCATCCGCACGTACGGCGACACAACCCACACGCTCATCCAAAAGAACAATTACGCCGGCATTTTCCTCCCGGGCTACCGCCCCGAATCCACATCCGCCGACCCCCTCCAAAAGTACCTACCCCAAGTCAAGCTCGAAGCCATCGACCACTGCGTCGGCAACCAAGACTGGGACGAGATGGAAAGCGCGTGCGAGTACTACGAGAAGGTGCTTGGTTTCCACCGCTTCTGGAGCGTCGACGACAAGGATATTTGCACGGAGTACTCGGCGCTTAAGAGTATTGTTATGAGTTCGCCGAACGATGTCGTCAAGATGCCTATCAATGAGCCGGCCAAGGGTAAAAAGCAGAGCCAGATTGAGGAGTATGTTGACTTTTACGGTGGTCCTGGTGTTCAGCATATTGCGCTACGGACTGATAATATTGTTCGCGATATTACCAACCTGAAAGCTCGCGGCGTCGAGTTCATCAAGGTGCCTGAGACGTACTATGATTCTATGAAGATGCGGCTCAAGAAGTCGGGGCTCAAGCTTAACGAGGACTTTGAGGTGCTAAAGAGCTTGGATATCCTGATCGACTTTGATGAGGGCGGTTACCTGTTGCAGCTTTTCACAAAGCATTTGATGGACCGGCCGACGGTGTTCATTGAGATTATCCAGAGGAACAACTTTGATGGGTTTGGCGCGGGTAACTTCAAGAGTCTGTTCGAAGCGATTGAGCGGGAGCAGGACGCTCGGGGTAACTTGATTTGAGCGGCGCGTCGTGTCGATGGTGGGTCGTAGCATTTCCAGGCGTTCATCTCGTTCCTAGCGACTCGGTCGCTGGCCGTTCTTCGGACTCTTAGCACATTCTCAGTCGAATACACACAATAATTCACATCGCAAAGTTCCGTCGCATATATCGCCCATCCCGTCTCACCCTGCAACGCCACGCGCCCCAACGTCTCGAGACGCGTTTCACCCCCTGCCAGGGCCTGCCCCTCATCGTCGTCAACACCACCACGCATCGAAACGCACATCCACGCATACCACACCGCAGCCAAGCATATCCGCCGTCGAAAATCCAGCCGAAAGCGCGCTTGCCCAGTGCAGCTCACACCTTGCCGCGACGTCTTGACCCAGCCAAGCCATACCCGCATTACAGGGCGAGCAAACCGCCAACAACGCCATTGCAAATCCCGTGACAAACGTACCTTCGGTCTTTGCGGATTCCGGTCGCAAGTGGTTTGTCGCTGCTTCGGCAAGTGCATTTCTTACTTGCATGATTAGTATGCTGAGGCCGTGGAATCCGTGGAAGATTGGGTATAAAGCGATAGGTCATCGCACTGTTGTAGGGCACAATGAGAGTAGCGCCGACTTCTGCTTTCTGAAGCCGACAGCGAAGCTCTGCCGGATTCTTGGCTTTCGAAAGGAACCTCTGCTTCGACACTCTATTCTTCTTCAGAGGCGGACCTCTGCCGATTCGGCTCGTCGCGAGCACATGCGCGTAGAAGGCGCCGCGCCCTTTATCCCCGGATTCAAATGTTCAGCGAAGTCAGCGAAGGCAGCGAGAGGACGTCACGAGATTTGTTGGGCGTACTTCACATGAAAGTCACCCTTGAGGTTTTAGCGCGAACCTGATCACCATAGATCGCATGCACGCAAGATCTCTAGCTTAGCGCCTTATCAGAGTCATGAATTCGTGATATCTATAGTCTAGCAACACATTGGAATCTACCGACAAAGATACAGTGAAAGTTGAGACATGATGATGATGATGATAGGCAACGGGTGAACATGACATTATGCACTAAAAAGAAGAGATGACCACGTAAAGAATGAACGGCTGCCCCATTTAAGTAATTCTTGTTTCAGTTTAACATGTGCCGTCATATACGTTATGACGCCTAGTGTTGTTCCCATACTCGTACAGTTGATCGTTCTGCCAGGCTGTTGTAGCAGATCTTGTCTAGACATGAAGGAAAAGCGTCGCGCGTAGTGCAGGAGAGCTTGGCGACGCTGAAGGTCAATGAGTACTCGAAGAGAGTAGCCCATGACGAGCGCGCTTAGGCAAAGGCTCCGACAATGGACATACCAGCTGCGCCCATGAGGACGTAGATGAACGCATAAGTCTTGGTGCTGCCGGTCATTGTGTGCTGAGCCTCCTCAGAGAGGAAGTCCTCGGCCAACAGATCTACGAGCGCAGCGTAGATGAGAAGACCAGACGAGATGGCGTTGAAGACTCCGACGATGATCAGACCAAATGCCGAGTTGGGGTCGTAAGATCCACGAGTAATGAGTCCGATAGCCTGGCCAATGGGCGCGGTGGTACCGAAAGCAACAACGAGAGCCCAGGGCTTCCAGCTGTTCTTGGGGTAAGGAACATCCGCGATACGCGTGCCGAGACCGAG